TTCGATTTGATGTTTAAAATATTTATTTATTAATTTTGGGTTTAAAAATTAGGTGTCGTCTTGGAAAAATATGGTAATTATGTAAAAATAGTAGATAAATATACACGTAGAATTTCACAGCATCCTTATAATGTATGCATGTTCACATGAGTGCAGCTCTTTGCTCTTGGTTTCATATATATATATATATATATATATTCAGGGCCGGCCTTAGGCGGTTAGGCGCTCTGTACGAAAAGTCTTCACAGCACCCCTCCCCGGTCATACCCCTTTATCCATATTTAGGGTGTGTATAGGGGTGTGGTGTTTGTATAGGGGATATTAGAAATTAATAATTATTTAGAAGCAAATATTCATTCCTCCTTTTTGTAACTTTGCAGGGAACTGCGTAACTGTCTCACAAGCTCAGGCACTTGCACCGTCAGAACTTTCCTATGATAATCCGCGGCAGAGACAGCTACTTATGGCCTGCAGCCAACAGAAATGCAGGCCAGAGGGGCAGACTAAGTATGTCACATAATCATGTGAGATGTTTTGCATTGGAGCTCTGGATTTTCCTTATGGGTCCGGCCTAAGGGGAGGACGAGCAGTACAGCCTGACAGGGTGCCATGGCAGCAGCGGAGGATTTCGGTATTCTCTGCCCAAGTGTAACAGAGAATCTAATTAGGGCCATTGCTTAAAGAGACACTCCAGGCACCCAGACCACTTCTGCCCATTGGAGTGGTCTGGGTGCCAACTCCCACTACCCTTAACCCTGCAAGTGTAATTATTACAGTTTTCATAAACTGCAATATTTACCTTGCAGGGTTAACTCCTACTCTAGTGGCTGTCTACTAGACAGCCACTAGAGGGCACTTCCGTGTTAATAGCACATGAAAAGTGTGCTATAATGTCGCTGGACGTCCTCATGCTATGTGAGGACCTCCAGCATTGCCGCGCATGCGCATTAAGTCTCACCCGCCGGCCAGCCGTCCATGCTCAATAGGTCTCCCCCACTGGATGACGGCGGGGGAGGAGCGTGGGCGGACCCTGACCCGGGGCTGGATACAGGTAAGTCACTGAAGGGGTTTTAACCCCTTCAGCAACATGGGATGGAGGGTTGGAGAGAGAGGGGACCTGCAGTGTCAGGAAAACGGTTTGTTTTCCTGTCACTGGAGAGTCTCTTTAAGGAGTGGTAGGCGTGGGGCTAAATGGATGGCAGAGGCAGAGCTAACAGCATCCAGAACCCGCTGCCTGGTCATTTCTGCACACTAAGGGGGAAGCAGAAAGGAGTCCCTGGATGCAGCCATTGATGGCTTTCTTTTTCTGCCCCTTCCAGGTAGTTTTGCAAAGTTAATTCAACACAGGCTTTGATTTTGCATCCAAGCAGGGGTTACTGCCATAATGAATAAAGTTTAATTTATTGACAGCTAATTCTCAAGTAGTTATTTCCTGTTTGCCATTACATACCACCTTCTAAGTGGGAAAACTACACCAGAGCACATTGGATGTGTGTCAGCTATGGGAACCTCATCCTTATTTTAATCATGGTAAATGGTAAAAAAAATAACAAATAAAAAGTAATTTTATGCTCAAACCCTACTGTGGCGATACCATCCTTTCCCATTCACCATTCAATTTTTATTTTTGTTTTAATATTTATTTTTTCAGTTGCATTTTCCTACGTCTTAATGAAGTTTCATAGTGAAGATAATTTTTTTCACCAGTTAATGTTACTACATGATTTGAGCAGTTTATTGCTGCCGTACGTCTTGGTACCACATATACAACAACATTTTCTCACAGCTCGTGGGGTTTCAATTTTCCAATTTACATGGTCGATATGGATAAGCTGAAACTTGGTTTTATTTCTCTTTATTGTATGTTAATTATGTTTTAGAAAATTGGACAGGGTGTACTTGTATGTATAAGCAATGCAATCCGCATTGTATAGTGTTGTTCATTTCCAGTATCATTAATAAAGAATTTTTTAAAAATGGTTCAAATTTTTTTTTTTGACAACTGGAGAGAGAGAGAATAGGTTGGCATTTACATTTTAAGCTGGACCTCTCATCAATGAATGTGTACTTTGTGCAAAATAAAGACTGTAGACGGCTGTCCACATTGTCCTAATTACAGCCTGAGGATATGTTTTTTCGAAATGTGCTAACCTTGTGTACATTAAAAAGCACAGACAATGTAGGGACACCTTTCATTCACGGAAAAGGTTTAGAGGGCATGAATTAACCATTCTACTTACTTACCCCTCGGCAGGGTAAAACTTGGACTGAAATCTGTGGAAAGTCATTTCATTTCATTTCATTTGTGTCTGGTACCGTTCATCTTCATGTATTATTCGAAGAATTAAAAAGTCAGGGCCTTACCAAACCTCAATATTTAATTCAAATTGTAATAGATGCTCAAATTTGTAATTTGATTTCTAGCTAACTCCACAGACCCATGAGGATTCACCGAACTCTGTGGTTGTGTACCCAGGGTTAAAAGTCAAAACAAGATCCCCATTCATTATATTAGATCCATTTGGTGAGAATTGGCACATCTTTTTCACCAGACTCCTGGAGACTGCCTGTTTGTTGTTTACGGTATGTGTGCTACTTTTTTTTCAGTTCAGTAAACACTGGGTAGGCATTGGTAAGATTCCAGGTGTGTTATGCAAATGGGTCACAAAGTTAGTTTTTCAATTGAAGTATTGATCACCAAGCTAATACCATGTACATAATTTTAGTCTCTTGAAAAGTTATCTGCTTTAACCGAAATTTAACACTTTCTTCAATAATAAATGTATGCAACAAATTAAATAGCTATTAGCAGTATCTGTAATATAGACATTATTAAATCATTAATATCATAACATATTAAGTTGAAGATGTAGCAAAATATAATTTATGCTCATGACCATGATGGTAGTTATAGAGTCCGCTGAGGGAGTAGGAGTCCATAGGCTTCACCATACTGCTCCATAGACCAAGGGTTCCTGACCTGTAATTGTGATAACCTCTCCAGGAGCAGTAGTGACTGTTCAATTTAGGCCTCCCGTAAACATTTTGTCCACTGGCCAATCAGATGTTAATTGAAAAAAATGATGGAACCCCAAGCTCACTTAGTGCGATTCCACTCTGATTGACAACAATACCAGATCTTTTATGATGGCTGACACCATTGTTAGGAAATTGCCATCGGTACCCAGTGGTAACAGGAGCTGAGTGATTAGTTAAAGAAACACTCCAAAAATCATAACTACTGAAGCTTGCTATAGTGGTTATGTACCAGGAGTGCCCTTAGAACGGTTTGACTTCTCACCTGGGGTCCACCAGAAGCCACACCCCACTGCTACTACGGATGACGGAGAGGCCGTGCTCCTAAGCGAGAACTTTGGTTAGCTGTCCTAAGCAGTGCAGGCACTATTTCATTGGCTGAGAACATCAGCTAATTGCGCTTAGCCAATAACCTAAGTCCTGGCTTATCTCAGACAGAAAGCTTGCAGCTCTCTGTGGTTGGTAGTGAAGGTACGGAGTGGCACTGGGCAGACTCAAGGTTAGCTGCCAAAGCATTCTCTAAAAATTTGGGGGCAGGAGATTCCTTGCACTATAAGCACTACAGCAACTGGCAGCGGTTATGGTGATTGGAGTGTTCTTTAAATTTTATGTCACGATGGAAAATGGCAAAATGAAATTGGAAATGGTCATTTTTTTGCATTTATTTATTTATGACCAGTTTTCTTAGCTGTATTTATTCCCATTTATATTGAGATATGCAGGATCCTAACATGGATTAAATGCCTATTGATCTATTAATATGTTAACGAATATTGTCTTGTATCCTTGTCTTCTCATTTGTTAATGTATGTAGATAAGCAGGACTGGGCACATCTAGTTTGCCTCCACCCTGTCTGTAAAGCCTGTTTGTGATTATTTGGAATCAGACGAAGAGTTTTAAATAATAATGTCATAGGCAGGAAGAACAATAATGTTGCTACTGATTGTAGTAATGCTGTTCTAACCCACTGAGATTGAACTGCAGAGTCAATTAGCAATAATTTGCATTTTACATTTGTAGCCTTCGGGGTTCAAAAAAGTGTGCCTTCAGGGCAGGCACTTCAGGAGAGGGTGCTGGGTGCCAGCATGTCTGCTATAGTCCAGGTCACAATGAAAACAGTCAATTTAAACCACAGTCTTTTAGTGTGATTTCCTCTGGAACCAATACAGATCTGATGTTTGCATTTTTAAGATTCCAAGAATTAACAGATTTGGCTTCACTTTAATTCTGCTTTACAATAATGCCTGCACTCTCCCACTGATACATCCCATTAGTATGACAATTAAGGAGGTAATCTGGGGTAGAAGTGGATGTCAATGCATTATAAACCCAGCATTATCAGTTCAAGATTGTTAATTGGGATATTAACCAATTATGGCAGGGGCCTGGAACTGATGAATATAGAAGTGGAGCGCCAAAGTGGCAATATTCTCTAAAATAAAATTCTGAAAAGAAATATATGCATATACTTATGTGGGTGTCTTTACTCCAAGTTGAAGTACTCCATACATATAAAAAAGGAGAAAGAACAGCAATAGTGTAATCCTGTTAAATCTATTGATTATGCAATATATATGGGAGGAGTATCACTCCCATCACTCTCATGCAATTTCACACTTGGGTGATTATATGCCAATCAAAAGGTATGCATTTCATCCAATTTATTATTAACAAAACAATTAAAATCAGAGGCATAAAATGTCCATAAATATGTTCTATATGGAAGGCTGGGGAATAAGAACGACTGCCCCTTACTGGAAAGAAGTTAGTGAGTATATGCAGCACATCCGCTGCTACTCACGAAAGCTTAGTCAGTTGGGTTTACAGATGATCTGCAGTCTCTAATCCAACAGCTCCCCCAAAACTCTATGCTTTCAAATTTGCCTTTTGGGGAAGCTGTTGTATTTAAGACTGCAGATCATCATTTGTAAACCCAACTGACCATTGTGCTGCCTGGGTCCAAGGATGAAATGCTGTGAGTCAAGGTGTGTGTATCTGTGTGTCAGTGTGTATCTGTGTGCCAGTGTGTGTGTGTGTATCTGTGTGTCAGATACATATACACACTGACACAGAGATACACACACCTTGACACACAGATACATACATACACACACACACAGATACACACTGTGTGTCAAGGTGTGTGTATCAGTGTGCCACTATCTGCCAGTGTGTGTATCTGTGTGTCAGATTCATACACACTGGCACATACAAACACAGATACACAGACTTTGAAACATAGACGCACACACCTTGACACACAGATCGATACATACATACATACGCACACACACAGATACACACTGTGTGTCAAGGTGTGTGTATCTGTCAGTGTGTGTATCTGTGTGCCACTATCTGCCAGTGTGTGTATCTGTGTGCAGATTCATACACACTGGCACATACAAACACAGACACACACACCTTGATACACAGACACATACAAACACACACACACAGATACACACTATGTGTATTTGTGTGTCAGATATACAACACCTTGACACACACCAGCACATAAAAAAAAAATTTGACGCTGATACAATATGTCAAAGGGTTCCACAGGAAAAATTAATTGGGAATCCCTGGTCTAGTGGATGCAGTGTCTGTGTATGTAGTAGTGTCTGTGTAGTGCGTGTAGTGTGTGTGTAGAGTTGGATAAATGCTAGTGGGGGTGAGCAGTTTAAATTAAATTGGGGTTATCACCCCTTCCGGCCTCTTACCTGTGGGCTGGAATGGCGGAACAGTGTGTAGGAAGGTGACAGTAGAGGAGGGCAGTATGTAGGAAGGTGACAGTATAGGGGGCAGTGTGTAGTGAAGGGACAGTGTGGAGGGGCAGTGTGTAGGAAAGCTGTGGGGGCAGGGTGTGAGAGTGACAGTGGTGGGAGGCAGGATGTGAGAGTGACAATGACATTGTGGGGGTGACAGTGTAGGGGGCAGGGTGTGAGGGTAACAGTGTGGGGGGCAGGATATGATGGTGATAGTGATGGGAGGGAGTATATGAGGATGATAATGACCGTGGTGGGGGGCAGGATGTGAGGATGGCAGTAAGGGGGCAGGATTTGAGGCTGACAGTCTGGGGGTGACAGTGTAGGTGGCAGGATGTAAGGGTGACAGTGTGGGGGGCAGTATGTGAGGGTGACGGTGGGTAGCAGGATGTGAGGATGACAGTATGGGGGCAGGAGGAGACAGTGGCAGTGTGGGGGTGACAGTGGTGGATAGCAGTGTGTGGAGGTGACAATGGGGGGGTGTGAGGGTGACAGTGGGGGGCAGGGTATGAGGGTGACAGTGTGATGGTGACAGTGGGATGGAGGGTTTGAGGGTGACAGTGGGAATGACAGTGGGGGGCAGGGTGTGAGGGTGACAGTGGCGGGCAGGGTGTGATGGTGACGGTGTCAGGGTGACATTGGGGGGGCAGGGTGTGAGGGTGACAGCGGGGGGCAGAGTGTGAAGGTGACAGTGGAGGGGCAGGGTAGGAGGGTGACAGTGGGGGTGACATTGTGGGGGCATGGTGAGGGTGGTCACAGGCTGTGGGGAGGCTGGTTACATACCTTGTTTCTCAGTGCTCCCAATTTCCTGGTGGTCCAGTGGCTGGCTCTACAGTTCTGCAGCTCCGCCGGGTGTGAGCTGCAGACCTAGTTCTCGTGAGCTCAGATTAGAGCATTGCTGTGGTAACCTGTGGCAACACTCTGTGAGCTTGCGAGCCTTCCATCACTTGGTCTGCAGTTCTGCACTCGGCAAAGCTGCAGACAGGTGTTTCCCCCTGGGGAGGGCAGGCCACCGGGCCCCTCCTGGTATCGAGTCCTTGGTCACTGACCGAGGATCCGACGAATTAGTCTGCATTAAAGTTTAAAGAGCCGCCTCTACTACATATATATGCCGCCCCTGTTAAAGTGCCGCCTGGGGCCTTTGCCAGAGTTCGTCCTATGGACGGGCCGGCCCTGCAACTGACTAAGCTTTTGTGAGTAGCGGCAGGTCTGCCTTGACGTTAGCAGACGGGCATTCCTTCCAATGGCCATTGAAGTAACTAAATGACCTCCATTTGTTTCAATATTCATATGGATTTGTGAGAGAGCGCAGGTAACTTTTTTTCTTTGGTTTTTACTGTATGTATTGGGGCTGATATATACTGTGGTCATTGCTGCCACCCAGGAGTGATGGGAGTGAGTGCAGGACTTATCTTTTTCTATTTGTATTCACTTTTTGTATCACACAGCTTTGTTACAATGCTGCTGCCCATCCATAATATATGTATATATATATATATATATATATATAAAAATACCCCTCTCTGTCTCATTAGAGAAGCAAGGTGAATGAGCAAGAACTGCCACATCTCATGATTTTAGGTGATTTCTGTCTCCTCTGCTGCCCCAACTATCCGCAAAGGGAATCTAAATAGATGGCTGCTTCCACCTCGCAAAGTCTAGTAGGGCTGTGGTTGGGGCTCCCCGAGACGTCCTGGTACGCTACCTCGCACTTCAGGACAAGCTAGCAATCCAAGAAGTTGTGAAAAACAGAACAACACTTCAATTCGAAACAATGCAGCTCCAGTTTCTGCAAGATCTATGCCGCTCCACCTTAGACTAGACAAGCCTTTTAACCAGTCACAATGGCCCTATGAACGGCGAGCATCTACTATAAATGGAGTCAGTCTCGCACCCTTATGGCTACCAGAAAGGGGCCACACTTACCAGCTTTCTTCCGCGGAGACTTCCCCAGGATTTAGGCCTTGCCTCACCGCCAGACGGCACTGTCGGGCTGAACCGCACCTTGGACGTGAACAGGATTGTACCCTTTACTCCTTGCCCCGCTGCAGATACCGACTGAAGGAGGGATGGACTCACAGTGACTCCTACTGTATACAGAAGCCGCCCCTGCGGCCATGCAGGGATGGATTGACACTTTAACCAGTCCCATTTGCTTGATACTTATGGTTTTATTATTTTAGAGTATCGCTTAGCACTGTTTAAGTTTCAGTTTTTAGTTTACACTGTTATCTCCAGATGCCTGCACACCTCTTTGGATCTGTCCTCATAAGATGACATTGTATCAGCCAACACATCTCCCCCCCCCCACCCCCAACAGCCAAAACGCTCAGGGGTTATTGAGTGTAATTTAATAGTTAGCACCCCCGACTGACCAGAGTCACCATTACTTTTTATCTCTAGGACACGACCACTGTTTCTTCACCTTAGACCCATAGGGCTATGTCTCCCTCCTATTTTCGTGGTCTCAGCAAAATTAATAAGCCCCAAATTTTTTCATTCACTATGTAGATATAGTATGTCTCACTACTTATTTTTTCGTTCACTATGTAGATATAGTATGTCTCATCTACCTTTTTCTCTGTCCAAGACTGCATACCAGGAACCATCTTCTGTCTGGTAGTAAGAACGGAAAGAGAGGAGTGGACAAATGAGTTCTAGGAGACAGTCGCCAGTCACATCATTAGACACGTTCGCACCAAGCTCAGGGTACTGAAACAATGCTGTATAGCTGGCTTGAATGATTGACAGACAGCCTTGCATGCATTCACACAATGCTGACCTTCCAATTCTTTGTGCAGACCATCCCCCTTTCTGGACAGGTCCATACTATTGGGCGGGGCACTGACATGATTGCATCACCAGACCAACTTCTTTTACCCTGTTGATATGATTCTGTAATTAAGCCCATAATAATTGTCAGTACCAGGCCCAGTAGACTCTTAATCATGCCGTCTGCACGGGTAGGATTAAAATATATGGAAAAGGGGGAGTGGTGGACTAGCATATTTCAAAGTTCTATGTGCATAGCCTCATTTCTGCTCTTAACCGTAAATGCATATAGCTGGACTGAAAGTCATGGAAACCACTCATCGTAAAAGGGAGAATAATGCAAGTACAAGAACCAGCAAGAAAGAAACACCATTGGTTTACGTTGAAGACTAATCACTGAGTTGAAGACTAATTTTAAAGGGCTGCTCCATACTAAGTTATTTAGATTGACACATTCAGAAAGAGTTTAAATTGACCACTGATATATTCAAACTCCAATAGCAACTGTCTATATTTTTACTTACGGTCTCATACTGAGATTTTCCTACATAAATTAACCCGCTCAGTTATTTTGAAAACAGGCTATGCAACATTAAAACATAAAATGTATCCAAGGACAGCATATGTAAATAGAACATGACTGGGACAGAATGTACCTTAGAAATCCCAGAAACATTCTATCTAACCGAACAAAAATAGCCGTGTGCAGGCAGAGCTTGATCGAGGACCTGAGCAGAAGTCATATTTCACTGCTCTCATACGTTTCGTGTTAATAATCAAACTAACAGTGAAATATTCAGTTACCACCTACAGCATATTGGGCATCAATTGCTGGAGTGACCAACTCTACCCTGATACTCCAAAGCAAGGAATGCACACCATATGATACAATAGTATCTATCTATCTATATATATTTATTACAATACAAATACAAGCCATACATACAAAATGTAACAATATAACAGTGACCAAATAGGCTAACAAACTCAACAAATATATTTACCACATTCCACAAGCCTATATGGGCAGAAACACGAGTCACAAACAATCCCCCAACCTTTCGGCTCCTCCTGGTAGCCTTTATCAAGGGTAGCTATGATAAAGGCTACCAGGAGGAGCCGAAAGGTTGGGGGATTGTTTGTGACTCGTGTTTCTGCCCATATAGGCTTGTGGAATGTGGTAAATATATTTGTTGAGTTTGTTAGCCTATTTGGTCACTGTTATATTGTTACATTTTGTATGTATGGCATGTATTTGTATTGTAATAAATATATATAGATAGATACTATTGTATCATATGGTGTGCATTCCTTGCTTTGGAGTATTTACTGTATTGGTATTGGAGGGAGTGCCTTCTTGGAATAGCACCCTAAATTGAGGTGGTGGTTATATTAAGTGTCTCTCCACACGTTATATTTTGTACAACTCTAACCTGATACCCATCTTTTATTGATTGGCTCTCAGTTCAATGAACTGGAGATCTGGGGCCTGTACACCACTTCAGCCGTGACAAAAACAAGCGAACATGCGAGCCTTTGAGTTTGAGGATTCGCTTGGCCAGTCATTTGAGAGCAAATAAAGAGTGCATGTATCCAATATGTCATACAACAGTACTCCAAAACAAATTTGAATTGAACAATAGGGAACAGAATGCCCAGGAATCTTTGGCTAGTAAAAAGCCCAGGATTATGAACATTCAGCGTCATTCACATAATATACTCTAGATACCTTGTTTTCTGGAATAATGGCTGCTCCAGAGCAAAACACCACAACAGTGGAGGGCTGCAGGATGTAAAAACCAATGTATATCATTTAATGGACTTCTAAAACAAACAAAAAAAACCCTTGTTGCCCTGGAGCCTTTTCCACTAAAGAAAAGCTGATGTATATTTTGTGTGGTTGTAAATAAACCTTTATCAAGATCTGTAAAGGCATATGCGAAAGGATTACAGTGGTACTGTGTTATGGCTAAATACAGTATGGCTTCCCTTCCTGTCTGTAGGTAAGGATAGCCAGTCTTGGGCCACCCTGTAGCTGCTAGATGACGTTTCTACCTTTCTCCAAAGTCCAGAAATGGTTTCTTTAGAATCTAGGATCTCAGTCCAGGTCTGGGCCACCTGTGTTTTAAGCCTCATTAAAGGATTCCTTCTCTGATCTGGTTTGTTGAGTATATTTGTTCATATTTTTGGCGGATTTATATGCACAAACCCTGGGGATTTTCAGCAAGTGTTTTTATTTCGAGGTGTTATTTTGAAAGGTTTTTAACACAGATATGGAAGCAGAATATATTATTTGCTTGCCCTGTTTCACAGAATATTATCTGTCGTTAAATTGTTTATTATCGCATGTTAATATATATGTGTAGTATACCTTTCAGCAGAATTTTAATAACGCCTCTGAATTAAATTCAAATTCTACTTTGTCAAAAGAAGTTCTTTTAATTGAAGAATTTCTGAGTAAATTTGGGGAGAACAGCAAAATCTACATCGTGACTACCAATATTCTAAGAATAGAACTCAAAATGAAACCACAAGAAAAATGATCTGAACATAGAGAGGAAACGGTAACTGTGTAAAGCATGCATTGTTGATGACAGTCCTTTCATCACAGTCATATTGCTTAGCTACAAAATATTATTTTAAAGCAGTGCTATCATGGTTTTTTTCCTTCTCTCTCTTTGTTTTGTTCTTTGTATTAGTTTTTCCCTAGATCTTACTTTGATCTGTGACAAGATGTAATAAAATCATTGTATAGTCACTTTTTTATTTTTATAATACAGAAAATAAATATATGTCTTATGACAACCTTCTCATATTATTGAAATTATTCAACCTACTGGAATTATAGGATAGAAAAATGAAAACCTTACACAATGAAAAGAAGGGATTATAAGGATCAGGGGTGCCCAGGTAAATGCCCATGATACCTTTTCAGACTTTAAAATGGCAAGGCATCATGGAAGGTGTAGTTCAAACACATTTGGGGGTTAGCTTTTGGCCACCACTGACATGACTATTTTAGCCTGCAAGAAGTGGGGGAAATAATACTTTTTATTTGGCTTTGAATGATGAGATTTGTAAGTTAACACTTGAAAGCCAGAGGTTTTATAGTGTTTCTTCACACTGGCTTGAGATCATCATGACATTTGTAGATCATATTACCTCTGATGTAGAAGTGAGGAAAGTTGAATCCTTCAGACTGAGATCTGTAATTCTTAAAAGAACTAATGTACAGATTGTTAAATAAAACAAGCATTATTAGTTGTCTTGGCTTCTACTTGTAAGAAAGAAATAGAATTAAACAAAAGTCCCTTGCATAAGGAGATTTAGCATTTAAATCCGCATCACATGAATGAATTGGATCCACTGTGATGTAACACAAGAATTCAGCTTTATCCTTATGCAATAGTTTTCCAGAGTAATCACATAGGCCTATCATAAATCACAAAGAAAAGCAACAACACTGGCAATATTGCATTATTTAGATTGTTCTTTGTGAAATACTTTACAGGATTTGCAACCCTTAATTTTAGATTAGCAAAATGTACAAATCCTATAGTGGATGAGATGGAAGCTTTCCTATTTTATGATGCTGTGAAATATTTATCAATGCACAAATATCGATATTACAAGATGCAAAATAGTACATTTAGGTTTCAACACTTTTTACCAACATAGTCTATTTATACAGCGCAGTCCATAATTACTTGCACTGAAACACCTAAAGCACTTTTTTTTTTAGTTTGCTGAAGTGCTTATGTGTGAAGAGTGTCCCTTCTTTTTTCATTTTACAAAAAGTGCAGATTTCAATAGAAATTGGCACTTTTATAAATTCCCCTGGTTACCCCCCCTGCCTATCAATCAGACAGCCTGTGCTGTAACTTCCTGGTTTGGTTAGCTCAGTGGAGCTACACTCATGGGACAGACAACTGATCAAAGCACCTGCCTTGCAAAGACTTCACATTGAGCTGCATTGGGAAGCCTGTGTTTGGACAGACACAGACAAACAGGGCTGGAGAAGGAGAGAGGGAGATTACAGAAAAGAGACCTGCAAGATATACCCTCACTCAAAGAAAATATAATTAAATGCATGCATGTTTCATGAGGTTTTTTGTACCTAATAATGACAACAACAACAAAAATTAAGGCATTGGAGTATCATTTTGTTAGGACTTCAGTTTGCTTGTTTTTATATTTCTATTTGTTGCAATTTCTATTTTTCTCATTTATTGCAACAACATATTGTATACAGTTTGAAAGGACTAAAATGACTTTAATTTGCAATGACATATACATATATAAGTTCTTATATATTTAAAAAAAAAATAATGCAACATCCACCAAAAAAATTCAGTTTTGGCAACCATAATGTGTGCATAATTAATGAAACTAAAGAAAGGTATTTCAAAATAAAGAGATTATATAAATTTGTCTAGATTCCCTCGATGATGGAGGTCAGATGCAGTGGCCTCGGAAGAGCTTCCACATTTGCTGAGACGATTGCGGTCCTCAGTGTTGCCCACTAAGCTGACAACATCTATCGTTATAGATGGTGTCTACTGGATTGCCAGGTCACTGCGTGCCTCAGAGGTCTCTTCTAGAGTCATTATTCTCAGAGTCAATCCTATACCGATAAGCAACAGCTGCTGAATGTCTAAAGAGATAATGCACCCCTGTTCTTTGAATCACATCGCCTGACCTATCAGACCTTACCCACTCCCCTCTACGATGGCAACAATTTATGCAGCCCACCTGCTGTCCCCACTGGTTAAGGGTACTTTTGCATGTTGGCAGCTCTACAGCTAGTTAATATTAGTAATGAACAAGATAATTTTCTGTACCTTTACATAATTTAGTTGCTAGCCTATAGATTATGCACTTAAAGGGGTATCCGGCGCGGCCCTAGCCTTGGGTAGTGTTCCCTTGAAGCCCTCAGACTGCTGCCAGTTGATAATATCACCGAACTGCACTGTGATAGACAGGATTAGTCTTATCTGTTTAGGAGTGTTACCAATATTTATTATGCGTGTTACCACTAACTAGGGATTGTACCTTTAGATCTGATTCAGTGCATCACTATCCGTGTTTAGTTCAAGTTTGTTCTCGATTTTAAAATAGTGTGACCCTGCCGTTTATATCTTACATTATGTGTAACACTACGATCACCTGCTACGTCGCTATTCATTGATATGATTGTCACGTGTATTTTTCAACAACTGCAGTGTTCAAAAATTTAGACACACACAAAAAAAATTGTCTAGGATTTTATTCATCCTAGGTCACAAAACACATGGAGTAAAATACAATTTCAATGTGGAACTACTATTTTATTATATGGTATGCTTGTTATCCAAGTTTACTAGCCATCACAAAAAAACCCCAAAAAAACAGACATGTATATATGCATTTCAAGTAACAACACGGGTATTTATCTAAAAGGTATTTTGACATTTTTTAAATAGTCATTTGATCAACACATTTTATGTTTATTTAGTAAACCTGATGTGACACCTCTGTACAAACCCTCAGTGTTTATCTACATCTGAGTATAACACTACCACAAATAAATGCCTTTGTCACTATCCTGAAGCTAGATAGATTAAAATGATGTCTCATTTTGGGACATAATAGCCGTTTGACTTTTCAAATTACCCCACAAAGGTCTACCACTTGTGAAAATAGACATCACTGGGTGTGTCTAATTTGGTATGTTATAAACCTTGTTGAATGACTACTTTTTGTATCTTTTCGTAAAGTTATTTTTATTTTTTTTAATTCGTGGTGAATAATCTCTCCACTGCAGTTTGTGGTTTTTAATTGCTTTTTTATTATTAATTGAAGAATTTTTTTTAATGTGCGTATTTGGAAAGCTGATAAGATTCCCTTTGGTTTGAACACCCCACCGCTACACTCCTGGTGCTCCTTCAGTAGTGACAACAATTCGTGGGTGTTACTTTTGCATAACATCCATCTCTCCTTTAGTGATTTGCCCTGCGTGGGGACACATGCCTGTCACTCACTCCATTCCTATACTCTCTAGTAGCATTGGCTAGGGATTTTCCATAACAACCACAGGGCATGCTATGCTTGGGAGATCAGGAGGACCGCCTATAAGGTATTTTCTGCACTCACTTGTCACTCAAATCGTCAGACCCTTAGAAAACGTTTGGCCAGGCTTTCCAAGTCACTCTCCAAGACACATGCACGCATACAACAATATGCATCCTGCATGACATCTAGCGTCAATTAAACCTCATAGGAAAGCATTACAGCAATTAGCCCCCTCCCCAAACCCATTTCAATACCAGGGAGCTAAGGGAACTATAGTGTAAGGAATACAGATTTGAATTAGTAAAGTTCTATAACATGAATATTTGACCTCATCTTATTGTGCAATTTTCCATAAAAGTCATCAATATAAAAACAGATTACTAACCTTTGAAGTAGTTGTATCTGCCATTACACATAAGTACATAAACAGCTGCCCTCTCTTGATACAGACTGCCAGGATAACAGATAGCAAGAGGTCTGTTAACCTGTAGACCTCTGACAAGGCCGTTTTTCCCCAGATAAAGTTCTGTATCAGATGAAAAATTACAGACCTTCTAAAAACATCCTTTCAGCTGAATAAATTTTATAAAACGACAATCTTACTTAGGTGGGAACAGTTTTATGTTGTCACGTTGAAAAAGCAAGTGTTACAGAAATTGTGGTTAGCTCTCCAGTGGTTGGAGGATTCTTTGTACAGATAATTAGAGGCTTATACAGCAAGACTGAAGGAAACACAAATGAGCCATTGCTTTTAGAGAGAATTTATTTATAAATCCAGATCACATTGCAAGCCATTACAAAGGATGTTGCACAAAATGTAAAGCTGTAACAATTATACAAGAGCTTTACTGTCCAATAAACACTGTATTTTTCCTTATTCGTGAATGGAAAAAGTATGTAAAATGACAGAACTGGATAACATTAAGAACTTGTTAACCAGATTGAAAAATCTTAAGAGCTAGAAATGAGATCTGTATTAAATACCTGTAAAGATTCAGGGCCAGCAGTGGAGCCATAGGATAAAGTTCAATGAAAGTATATTGTACATCTTCTCTTTACTGCATTATGGAAATAGGAAGAAAAAAATAAAAAAATTACAAACAAAACCCAAAACTATTTTTTGACCACATCTGCTTGGGCCTGCCATGGCTACACAGCAATCTATAGAGGTTCATAGCACTAAGTAGAATTTATCTACCAGGGCAAAACATGCTGTATCGCTCTCAGAAATGTACATCTACAGACATTCACCTTACTGTGCAAGCAGATGCTTTTGTCATATTAACAGTTTGTATCCAATTAATCAGCATGACATACTTTGGGTAGTTATTTCAGCCATGATTTGTTTGACAAAGTGTAAAACAAAAATTAAAAAAAAAGAGGTACAGTAATATCGCTGTGCCCATTCAAGTGACTGAGGATAGGTAAATAAAATGTCATGGTTAAAAGGCATGTGGTGCTAATTAATGCTTCGTGAATGTAACCTGCAGAATGGGGGAGGGGGGGATTATTTATTGTTTGCACTTAATAAAATTAAAACCATTCTGTCCAAACAGGATTGCCAGACACAAGACAGATACAGAACGTTAAATACAAGAACCACCAATACTCCTATTTGGTGGAACAATTCTAAACTCACCCGTACCTGTGTAAGATGATGGTTATACTACACTAGGTTTACCATATTGCTTCCTTGAGATCTAGATTCCTTGTAAAGAGCTGAAATGTGCTTGGTTCTTGCACTGCCATTCAAGAACATGTAAACCAGCAGGTAATGCAGTAATGTGTTCCCTGTGTGGGTAACAGCCATTCATGTACAACAACAAATATTACATTTTAAACCCTGAATACTTTTAAAATCAAACCCCTGCCAAAAGCAAAACTAAACAAAAACTCTGTCAACTAAGCAAAGAGTGCTCTTTGTGTTTCTACTAGATTTGCTACATTAGATATTATCGACATGTTGTCTTCAGTTGCAACTTTTTAGGAAAGCATATGCCTCATTTAAATGAGTTCATATTGAAAAAATAAAAATAAAAAATAAAATAATTGTTTGTTTTATAGCTCCTTCAGTAAAGAGGATAAAAGACCTAAACTGTACAGGTACAAACATGACAGATGCTGATTATTAATGTGATCAGCTGGCCTTTCTCTGGGAGGATGGAAGGCCAAAGGGCTCTGCCCAGCGTGCAAGCCACCTTCTGTTCTGCATTATATCAATGCGTGGGAACCCTGATCATTTAAGTCTTTCAACGTTTTCACTGTGCTATATCTCATTGCACAACACATCGTGGTTAAGAACAGAATGATTTATCGGTGTGGTGCGACAGTCCTCCTCGTTTGCTGACAACATAAACGCAGGTGTAAATGGGAACAGTTTGTGGCAGGCTGTCCTGTACTCCTCGTGCTGCGTGTTGCAGCTGCCAAAGCTCCCATCCAAGAGTGCTTCCAAGACTTTAGTCAGACTCTAAATGGGTAAGAAGGGAACATAGTCATTGTCCAACAGACAACAATCAATCCACTACTATTGTTTGGTTATAAAGCAATGACAGTTTTAAATAAAATGATCTCCCCTCCTCCGCTATTATCCATAAAGAGGTCTCAAAGGGGGGGGGGAGTTTCAAACCGTGTTTCTTTTATTTTAATCTTACCTCAAACAAACACTTTCTGATTTTGTATGTGTTTATTATTTTTTTTTAAGTAATACAAAATAAATAAATGTACAAACAAAAACATTAAAACTCCTATTTACAAGACTGGATATAAAGAAACAGAGTGATCCAAGGAGATGTATCCGAATTTCAGACAATTGATTCCTAATTGGAAGTGTTAAATCACTAAAGTATAAACTGTTAGGAATTCAAAATAAGATTCCAATCTTGGGCCAATATAGTTACATGGAATACACAGAGAATTTCCACCCACACTTCCAAATTTACCATTTCACTTTGAACTTTCACCAAGTCATGTTTTAGTGAATAATCGTGCAACTATAGGAACACAACCACAAGAGCAGAGACTGAAGTAGATGAAATTAAAGTGTATTTATTCTCTTGAAGTGCGATATGAAAAGAATCCTACATTATGCATTAAGGTTAAACAAGTAAATCAACTTCAACAAAGCTGATAAAAAGATGTTACAAACCCAGGTTGGCATCCGAATTCTTTAAAAGCAGCCAGAGAATAGGAAAAATTATTTATGCACCGTTAAATGTTACAATTCAAACAAGTTACCCATGTATACATATAGGAAAATGATTCCAGATAAGACCTATACCTTTCTAGCAATTGCCACCACAGACAGAATAGCTTGTCCATGTGGATCTAGTTCTAAGGGGGAGACATTTCACTCTACCTGATGGTATTTGAGTTACCAAAGGGCAATTGATCCTGCATAGCAGGAATGTGCAGAATACACTCTACATGGAAAAGAAAACTCCCAAAACGATATTCTTGGTGTTTAACCATAATCATGCTCAAAAACATACCGATTAATGTTTTAGTAGGTTGGGTGAATAAATCCATATTGTTTTGCACATAGCTCCTAAAATAGTATTTATCTAACAAACGGAGGATTCTGGTCTGTCTGTTATATAGTACCAGAGTCATGACAAATATGAATATAACCAACACTTTATCTATTGTGACGGATACAATACCATCACTGCAGGAAGTGCAGAGTCCCACACCAACTACCCCTGTAAAGCATTCAGGATTCACACTGCCGACATACGTCTCCAAATAGACAGTGTTTTTTTCAGTAAGCTCCAAATTGTTGCAATTTGACAAAAACAAAAATAACAACTTTAAAGCTGTGTTAAGTGCTACTTGTAAACTAGATAAATAAAAACATTGTATTATTAAGATGCAATCTTAATCTTATTTAATGGATAATAACCCAAAGAACAATACAATATATCAGGGGGATTCTGGATCTATAACAAACTTATTCACAAGAAATTGTGATTTCATGGTTTTTTTTCCCCCTCTTGCAAATTTGTCATCTAGAGATTGGTATATTGCCTGTAGTGTATAGCTACTGGTTTTAGAAAACAAAGATAAAAGGTACACTTTAACTCTAAAATAATGTTTAATGATTTAGATCAGAGCTTAAAATTTCAAGTCCTATACCACTGCAAGACACACACTCCAAGTTGAATTTCTACTTGCCAGCACAATATTTTTAGTGTCCAGTGGAAAGTTTGAGCCATGCCTTTAAATATCTACCTTTTAAAATAAAGTTTTTACACCTTTTTTATCCAGTGCCAGGCTGCTCCTCCTCTTCTGAGCACATCCTTCTGGATGTTCTCTGGTCCAAACCAATGTTTCTCAGAGAGATGCATTGGATTGCTCAGCCAATCAGAAGCTTCTCTGAAAAGACAATGTTTAACATTGCCAAACAAAATTGGACAGTAGTTGTAATTTGTTACCCTGGGAAAGGCACTACTGGTATACAACATTTGGAAAAAAGTCTAATAGAGGTGTGTTGTAGAATTGATTTTAGCACACATCAGGGTTCAGAATTTCCATTTGATCTCTCACTACTGGTCAGTGACAAATGAGTGCTGGTAAGCCGTCTAAAAAAATAATAATATATATACATATATACTAGAGTATAAGTCAACCCGACTATAAGCCGAGGCCCCTAATTTTACCACAAAAAACTGGGAAAACTTATTGACTCGAGTAGAAGCCTATGGTGGGAAATGCAGCAGCTACTGATAAATTTCTAAATAAAATTAGATCCCAATAAAATTACATTAATTGAATATTTATTTACAGTGTATGTATATAATGAATGCAGAGTGTGTGTGTGTTTGTGTAGTGTGTGTATAATGAATGCTGTGTGTGTGTTTGTATATAATGAATGAAGTGTGTATGCGTGTGTATATATATAATGAATGCAGAATGTGTGTGTTTGTGTGAATGCAGAATGTGTGTATATAATGCAGAGTGTGTTTGTGTGAATGCAGTGTGTGTGTGTTTCTAGAATATACAAACTGTGCCAATAACACACATTCCCTTAATATAAGCATCATGAGATGAGTTGTGAGTAATGCTTACCGTTGCATGATATCGAATTGAGCTGAATGTGAATATAATTTACTGTATATACTAGAGTATAAGTCGACCCGAATATAAGTCGAGACTCCTAATTTTAACCCAAAAAACTGGGAAAACTTATTGACTTGAGTATAAGCCTAGGGTGGGAAATGCAGCAGCTACTGGTAAATTTCTAAATAAAATTAGATCCCCCAAAAATTATATTAATTGAATATTTCTTTACAGTGTGTGTGTGTATGAATGCAGTGTGTGTATGAGTGCAGTGTGTGTGTGAATGAGTGCAGTGTGTGTGTGAATGAGTGCAGTGTGTGTGTGAATGAGTGCAGTGTGTGAATGTATGTGA